AATCTAAAGCCACTGCTTGTTATGCGCTTAAGTGGAAAAGTAGCCCAAGCGAGCTGTCCCATTCCTTGCGATCACCTCCCGCAAGTTCGTGTGTAACCACTAGGGTACATAGGGCTTATTGGAGTACGCTTTTCGTTAGCTAGGAGCTCCTTTCATCAGCACCGTTTTACTCATCCTATAAGCTATGTTTTGTACGGCTACATATAACGCAAGTTGTACTACATGTGTACGGCAATGAGGGCCTATGGCTTAATGGATAAAGCGCCGGTCTACGGAACCGGAGATTCCAGGTTCGATCCCTGGTAGGCTCGGAAGTATCGCAGATACGGCTGTGCAGTCGCTCGAACATGCAAATCATGCAGAAGCGTACCCTTGGGAAAAGATGTTATCTGCGGAATTGAAATGTTAATGTATGGTGTTATGGTACAGCGGACAGGATGGTCAATCTCATCAGGATGATCATCATCCACATGTATAACTTCGTGTATCGCAAAGACTGAAGATTTATGGGAATCGACAAAGGAGTTCGGTGACGGAATCCATGTTGTAACCCTTTCCTTCATATAACGAGATAGTTCAGTGAGCTTCTTGCAGCGGCATTAGTATACAGCGGCAGTAGTATACTAGTAGCAGCAGCAGCAGCAGCAGCAGCAACAGCAACAGCTGCAGCAGCAACAGCAACTCACACGAGTGATCAGGAAAGGCACAGCCCGCCTACGTGAGGTGGCGGTGCATGTGCTCGAGCTCCACATGTTAAGCCACATCTATCTTCAAATGTACCCCGATGGAACACTGGCAGGTTTGATGTGAAAGTGGTAAGGGCCTGGTGCAGGGGTGAAAATGTAGTATTATATATGGTTGTCCGTAAATGGCGTCCTTCCGCTTCACAGCGTCCTTCATCCTGTTCTGCTGCCGCTGATTGATTGTAGGTTCTCCCCTCGCTCCCATCATTCATCACATATATCATAATCACCCTATGCTGCTGACGGGCCTGCATTAGTAAGAAGACCCAATATATATTAATGTTCTCGGATCCAGCACACATATTATGTTCTGACGTGGACTATAATAATAAGTACGCCACCAAACCCAAAACTGGTTCTCCGGCAATTGAAGCCGTCAATGTTGGCCCCGCATGGAGAGGTTTGGAATTGTATGGTAATACAGTGTGGTTTCGAATATTGTTGTGTGTGATTTGGGGCCTAGGACCATTGCGCTGTGAGGCCTCGACTGTCCATCCCATTTGCTCGTCCCTATCGTATAGGGGTTAGTACATCACGTTGTGGCCGTGAAGACCCCGGCTCGAATCCGGGTAGGGACATCCAGGAGCTCCGGGCACGGAGGATTGCAGCCAGATCATCGCACATGCACACGCATGCAAGATATGCACAGCTTATTAACGCATCTCAGCCTATGCTCGATGGACAGTTTGGTGTTTGTGTGCTGTCTGTAGCCTGCCTGGACAGGTGAGTGTTTTGTGTTTTGCCAAAAAGATTTCATGAGAGTGTCTTAATAAGCTCAATCGTGACAAATGTCCTACGTTAAGGCCTCCAACAAGCTTGGGCTGCATGCAAGACCATCACATCCAATTTAAACATTTTCGTTGTGGTTGGATGCTGCGTAATGTGGCCATCAACCTTTTCCCGACCTGGCCCCATCCCACACAGTAGTATTGAACGGCCGGCTGATTATGGCATATGCATCACTTGATGCTCCTTTTGTGGGATCTGCATGCATAGGTCCTGGTGTCCATGTTGGGAATGGGTGGACAATAAGGGGGATTCCATAGGTGAGTGGGGTGAATAATAGGGGGCTTCCCTGGGTTGATCAGCAGCTGGACATGTCTCCAACAAGTGATGCTGATGTGTCTTTTCAGCATTAGGTGGGCCCCAGCCTGGTAGCGTGTCATTCGTCGTTTTGTCTCAGATAGACTGTCCACACAGGTGCGGAGGAGTCTGCCTAAGCCTGGGGATCCTCAGA